ACACATTTGGGATGATTAGCATAATGTTAAACTGCCGACAAGATATAATTTATGTAGGGTAGGAACAAAAGAGGACCTAAAACGGTACCTCGTAGTACCCCTGCCAACACATGGCCCCGGGGGCCAGACGGGGCTAGACGGGGCTAGGCCCCGTCCAAATTTCCATCCTGTCTAATCACGTCATTCTGCATTAATTTGGACTGTTTGAGCTTTATTATCGTGAAATATAAGCCTTTTAACTTGTTTAATGTGGTTTCAGTCGTATAACATCGAGAGAAATTCATGTTTCACGAAGGCCAATATTGGCCTTGTTTAAGTCGGTCATGTACCTACCCACGTAGACGGCACTTTTACGCTGACAGTGTGCACACCTGATCCATACAGCTTCTTGACTCCTGATTCTTCCTTGGCTCTTTTTGACTGCAGTACATTATTCATTTACTTGTTTATTTCGTCTATGCGATGCAATATGTCATTGTAATAAGTAAATGCTTTATTTTAGTCTCCAGAATCGTAATTTAAGTTATTTATAAGAATGGCACGTAATCTAACGGCTTGAGTGTACTATATAGCGGTCTAATATATGTTAATGGTATTTATATGTTAATTCTAAGCAAATATGGAAAGAAAATACTGGGGACTTCATCGCAGTACAATGCACAACATGACTAAGCGGGCGAAGATGGCGTACTATGCCGCCACCGATGACCCCTCGCTCCCATCTACGTCATCCCTCGTAACGGAGTCGTCCCCCGAACCATCGATGCCGCACCTTAGCCCTGAAGTCAGCATTGGTAGGTGTTATATGGTATGCTATAAGACGGTGTAGACGATGACCAGGTTGCAGATGACAGCTCGAACCCGTTCAGTGGCAATTGCTTCTTGACAGATTTGAGGGAATTCTGCTTAAGTGTCCAACTACCGCAGGCAACATTCAAGTTGTTGTTCCAATTTTTGCGGAAATACCACCCAGAGGTGCCCAAGGACCCGCGAACTCTCATGCAGACACCGCGAGCATGCGTTACTGAGTCCCTCTCTAACGGCAGCTACGTCCACCTGGGCCTTAAACGCGGCCTGTTAGATGAGCTTCAACTTCGACCGTCGGCTTTGTTTCCGAAAATACGGGTTCAACTCCACATTGACGGAATGAAGCTATTTAAAGGGTCTGGCCAGTGTCGTTTTTATATTTTCCCATCCCATTTTGCATAAATCCCTCATTGATTTTGGACGTATGCTATTAGATAAATTTGTTTCTGATTTCCCAATATTGTACAATCCTGCAGATCTTGTTTATAATGTTCATAGTTTAGTCCACCTCCATGAGGACGTTAGCCGTTTTGGAGTTTTGGACAATTTTTCTGCCTTCCCTTTCGAATCTTTTTTACAAACCCTTCGCGGTACCATCACGGGTCCCCGTAATGTAGCCGCACAGGTGTACAAACATTATTCTGAGAGACGTTTGCCTGAGATGCCAATTAGCTCACTGCTGTTGGACGACGATTAGGGGGTACCACGGTCGTTTCAGTTGCCGCGCAGGTCGACCGCCATTCTTCACAATGGCTACGTACTGTCCACTGAGGCGCCTGATAACGTCGTGCTTATTGGTGAGCGACCGTGCGTACTGACATCTGTGTCGGTTTCCGAACTAACATACCGCCCCTTCGAGGACTGCGTCGACCTTTTAACCACTTCTGTTTCTTCTTCCCGTTTGTTTATTTTCAAAGCCTCCCGTTTTTCCAGTAGCACCAACACTGCCTCCCTTACTGACATTACTTGTAAATATGTTTCTTTCAATGTTGACGATATGTTTTACTTAATCCCCCTGTTGCACACCTTCCATCTACAATGACTTAATTTCCACGTCCATCCCCCATCAACCAAACCTCTCTGCAGATGTATTCAGTTGTCCAGTTTGTGTGCGATGACTCATTGGCCTTGTTGCCAACTCGTGGTTGCTTGGGGATAACTTAGTTGCCTGGCCAAAGGACCGGGAAGTGCAGCGTCTGTTGGAGGCCAATCGACGGCCAACGGACGGCGCAAAGCTCTATGAAGTTAAAGTACTCAAGGACGGCCTCGATCTCGATAAGGCGCGCCGGATAGCCCAAAAGGCCGAAAATACGGATCACCTGTCATCGTCAGAGCCGGAAAGATTAGGAAGAGGCATGCGGACAAAGTACGTTGCCAAAACATTACTTATTTTTTCATAGATTTCCCCGAAGACTAACTTCCGATTCGGAAGAGCACGACGAAATACAGGAGATACGGAAGCACACAGAGCGACGGCTAGGCCCCTGGCCCACACCTCCGGCTGTACTCCGGTAGGTCTCATTGGCTTATCCGAACTTCAGGCCCACAAACGATAATGTTCCGGCTACCTCCTATTCTCAACGAAGAGAAGGAGAAAGAACAAGTTATCAGTAATCATGCCTTATCACATTGTCGCTTTAGGTTGCCGGACGGGGAGAACTTGGCGTCTGAAATACGAAACTTGCTGAAAGAAATGAAGCAAGAGTTGGCATGTCTAAGGTAAACCGATTAAAACCCTTTAATATCATATAGGAAAAAATTGGACTTCCTTTCAGAGGAAATGGTCTGGGTGAAGACCCATATACAAGATATCGAAGCCAAGCAAGCCGACAATCGTCGAGCGTTGCAAGCAGTATGCTTTGTTTCCAAAATGAAGCCTCCCATTCTACAACTGCCTTTGCGGACTGCCGAGGCGTATAAAGACTTTCTTACGAAAATTGGCTCGGACAATGAGCTAGCGCAGGAAACGGTATGTAAACAAGCTTGGACACTCATTACTGCTTATAGGTAAAGCATTTGTCCACCGTTGGGGGAGGGACTGAAAAGGAGTTCGTACGTAATCTCCTGACAGCCCTTCTTGGACCTCCCCTCTGCCAAACTTTCTGTTGGACTGGCTCCAACGACAAGAAGTCTTTCGTAGGGAGCCCTCTATTCAGTGTCCTAAGTGGTCTGTTTATTATGTTTTTTTAACACCTGCAGATGCAATACGCTGTAATGAGCAGTACCGTAGCTGCCATTCCGAAGTAATTCGGCAAACAGCTACTGAATGGTTCCATGGAACACGAGACAGATACGGAGGGCGAGCCAAACGGCGTCGAGTAGCTGATATGGTACTTACTTTTCCAACAAGTTTTTACAACACATTGATTTAGGGTTCCCTAGAACATTCAACAAGCAGCTTTGAACTTTCGCAAACAATATCGGAGGACACAGTGAGTAACTTCATATTTGCTATGTAGCCGGCTAAGCTATGACTTTCAGTATAATTTTTTTACCTCTATTTAATATAAGTATTATTTAAAATTAATTATTCAACCAGTCTGCATAATTTTCTTATGCTCAGTAAATTTAATTTTTAATTTTTGCATTAAGACATACATCTAATTAGCGGATACCTCTTTATGATTTACTTTCAAATTAATTAATACTGATTTCAATTTTTTTCATTATTTTGTATCGTTATTTTGACAGCTATACTTGATAAAACATTTACAGGGGACATAAATGACTTATTAACCAAAAAAAGATGGCTATTTATTCCTTTAGTCCCCTCTAAATGTTTTTATAAAGTATTTCTGACATAATTATTTATCAGGCATTTTTTTTCACTCCATAAATTATTTAACTGAAATTTTTATTTAAGTTGCCCTAAGTAAATTTAAAGTTACTTAGTGTCACGAACCTACCCTGTCAACGGTACCTTTTGTTTATGGCATGCTGAACCAGTCCACTGCGCCCGATCGGTTGTCCAGCCCAGGTGAACACGCTCTGGAATGGGAGAAGGGTATCCTTTAGGCGACGGAGGTAGGTGACGGGGATTTCTTGGCGGGTCAACAGATCGTCAATGGACGTCGGTTCGTTTGGTGGGGTAGTGTCTAGCGTACTGACATCCACGGAGATGTTGGAGATGGCTGATCTGGAAAGCAGAACTGCAGCCGGGTTGTTGGGGTCGATGATAAGCTGGTGGGCGCGGAGAAAGTCTAACCCGACAATGGCGTCAACTCTAATGTCCGGGGAGACTAGCATGGGATGTACGGCAGTGCAGATGGGGAGGGCAATGGATACTTGCCGTGTGCCAGTGCAACGCAGGGGTGAATCATCAGCTGTGACTAACTGAAAGTCTGAAGGAGGGGAGTGTGTAATGGGAATATGGGGAGATCGCAACACAGACCGGATGGCGCCAGTGTCAATAAGTATGGTGGCGGGGGTTCCATCAAGTGTGCCAGTGACTGTCAGCGGGAGATTTGTGGGTAGCGAGGAGGAAATAGAGGGCAAGATAGTGGAAGGGGTCTTACCGGCAGGGTTGTTGTGACCGCACTTGCGAGCGCGGTCCTTGAACTGCTGGCAGTACCAGCAGTCGTTCGTGTTGTTGGTCGCACGAGAGAAAAACGGTCTTCGATCGGATAGTCTGAGTTGCCCCTGGGGACTGCTAGGAACACGGCGAGGTTCTTGTTGTGGTGGGGCGGACTCGAATATCCTTGTCGTTTGTAGGGCTGTGAGAAGGTTTGCAGGGGGTCGGATGCGAAACTCCCGTTTGATGTCTTCTGAACGGAGACCGCCCACGAATCGTAAGAAGACCTGGTCAGAGACTTGGGAGTCCGGGAAGACCCTGCTACCGAGACTGAAGAGGGCGTCTAGGTAGGAGTCCGCATTTTCACCGGGCAGTTGTGTGCGGAGGCAAAATTGGTTGTGGAGGGCGATGAGGGGTTCCTGGGCACCGAAAAGGCTTTCCAGCGATGCACATAGGTTGCTGATGGTTGTAGGGGGTGAGACGCACAGATAATTGAGGCGTCTTTTAGCGGTTGGACCTAATAGACCCGTAATATGGTCCATTTGTTGGTCGGCCGGTAAATGCACCAGGTAGCGTTCGGCCTGAACTCGCCAGTCCGAGAAGCTGCCGCCGACCTCGTATATTGGGGGTCTAAGGGAATCCAGAGCCACTGGAGATGTGCGTGTGAGAAGGTTGCCTAGGGCGGCGGTTAGCTGGTCGATGCTAGAGGAGTGGGCATCGGAGGTTGATCGAGTATTCGGCATGGTGGGGGATGCGGTCTAGTTGGTACGGACGTGTAGAAAAATGCGGATGAAATGCAGTACCGAACGGGAATAATGAAGTCCGAAAAAAAAGGTGGGAGAAAAATCAAGAAACGCTGCCACCAAATATGTGACGACCTACGGGGGGACTGAGTATTAGTACCTCAGTGATCGCCATGCAGACGCCACACATCAAACAATAGAAGGATATAGTCTGAATGGGATACTATTATAATAACGGGTTAGATAATAAAGGGGTACGGAAGTAGGGGGAGAAAACGTATAAGAGTAGTTTAAATCCTAACAATGAGATTACGAAAGGGGGGAACGCAGCCGGCTGCATAAACAAGGGGAGACATTAAACAAATTGGTCATTAGCGGGACCCTGGTGGTTGTTCTGGTTGTTCGTGGGCGTTGAACGTGGCCCTGAAAAAGGAAATAAAAGTATTGAGGGGCAAAAAGGTACCGTTGACAGGGTAGGTTCGTGACTGAAATTTTTATTTAAGTTGCCCTAAGTAAATTTAAAGTTACTTAGGGCAACTTAAATGTTACACCACGCATGCCGTTTAGTAAAACAAAATTATTACTTAATTTACTATTATGAAGAATTGTTTACTTATTAATGTTTTTTTAGGAGCCTGCCGTGGATGAAAACTTCCGGCAACACAACGATGCCGTGTAATTGATTAACCAGAACAAATTCCTATCCCATATGTCCCTTGTACATATTACTCCGTTTTTTTTTTAATTTGATATGTTTAATAAACTATCATATGCCAATATTTGCTGTCCATTGTCTTTGTTTATGCAGACCTCGGGACATGTTCGAGTTTTCGGCGCTATCACTATATTTAGAGGGTGGGCAATACCTAACAAAGGTAAGGGTTATGGGTGTTCATCGATCAGAAGTCGAATAGTTAAACCGGCCGTGCGGAGAACTAGGAAAGGAATAATACTGGTAACGTAAATTGGGGGTTAATATCACGGAGAGCGTGGCGTCCCCCTGCGCGTTTTTTTTGAGGACGGGGCCAGACGGGGCTGGGCCCCGCCTAGCCCCCGGGGCCAGACGGGGCTATCGCGTCCCTAGCCCCGTCGTAGCCCCGTCATAGCCCCGCCCAAACGGGGCCCAGCCCCGTTTGGCCCCGGGGGCTAGGCGGGGCCAGACGGGGCTGGTGCTAGCAGGGACAGCACTTAAAAAAGGGCTTCCATTTAAAAATGAAGATCCCACTAAAACCCCTTCTTAACGATTAGATAGGTAGGACTTGTCAAAGTCTATTAGGGAAGTGCAAAGTCCCAGAGCTTCTAATTTTACTAGGAGTCTTCAATGTGGCACTTTATCAAAGGCCTTACATAGATCAAAATAGATAACGACTACATACCAATGATCATTACAAAAGGAAGTAAATTTAAACAACTTCATATTGCAATTTCCAATATAACGATCTAGTAAAAAGCCATGCTGGGACGGGCTAATAATTTGATTGGCTATACAAAAATCCGTATCTTTCATGGTGTTAATTTTTTCAAAGACTTTGGCGAGAGAAGCTGTAGTGCTACAAAAACGCCGTAAGGTCTCCCGAAGATCTCAGGAGGAAATATCTTAAATGCACGTCTGATCGAGTGTAATGTTCTGGCTACCTTCTGAACCATATTTTTACATGGCATTAGATTTGCGGTCGTTCATGCACTCAGGTCTCCGCGTCCTTCTCTATCTTAATAATTAATAATAATTATCTTCTAATTCCTTCTAGTTAACATGGTACTGATGTTTGGCATTTCGACCGGCGTAAGGTGTAGGACCACACATTTGGACACATAAAACTTTAAAAGCCATCTGTTTAACCCGACGCTCAGTTTACCGTTGTTCGATTGCAACTTCTTTGCGTCATCAACATAATTACCCCCAACCCACATTTTCATGCCGTCCGCAAACGTAGGAGCCTCGCATTCTAGTTCGTTGGTGCAATCGTTTACATAAATCAGAAAAAGTAATGGGTCAAAAACAGAACCCTGTGTGACACCACTTTCCACTTTTGCCCATTCCAAGGCAGATTTACCCACAACGACTCAGCACTCTGGAGGACAGGAAACTCCAGATCGAAATTAATATCTTTCCTCGAATTCGTACATTCTAAATCTTCTGTAAAAGATGCCTGTGTGGTGCGCTATCAAATGCCATTTTGAAGTAAAAAAATGTGACATCTACTGGACAAACCCTATCCGTGACCTTTGTTTATTTATCGTGTGAGTAAAAAACACTCATGACGCAAAGGCATCATGGACAAAATCCATGTTGCACATAATAAAGCATTTATTTTGCAGATTTCCCGTTAAATGTCAGTCAGTCAGTCAGTGTATTTGAGGGAAATAGGCTTGCGCCTTTGAACTCCTATTTGTGCATAAAAAATCGATAAATTAGCAGAATGAGAAGAAATTACAGCAGTAAGTGTATGCAGGCATTGATTCACATATGTCACTGGTCTCATGGCTAAAACTTCACATAGTCCGCTTGGTGTTGTGGCATATGTCTGTCCAGTCTACATTTAACTGTCGCCACAGATTGAGACATGGCAACCGTCTCGGGCAGATTATTCCACGGTTCCACGACACGGTTGGAGAAGAAATATTTTCTCACATTCAATCTACCCTGGGGCACACGTGGCTTTAAGGGAAGTCCCCGGAGGTTAGTTGTTGTGGCGAGTTGGAAAAAGTCATCGCACCGAAGGGCGCAGTCCAAGCCACGCACGATACGGAAAGTTTGTATCAAGCTTCCGCGCAACTGCCTATAACTCAGGGGATAGAGGTTAAGGTTAGTTAAGCGAATCTCGTAAGGCAGTGCACTTTGACCTCTTACTAATTTTGCCTTGTGATAAAGCCCTCTATTATTTTACGCACGATGCAAGTTGGACTAGCAAGAGGATACTTTCAGCAATCGAGTCGTGAATCTCCTTCATGGATCGGGGTAGTGAGTACACACTTCCATTCTTCCGTAGTTAGCCTTCTTCACATGACTTTCGAAAATCGATAGACAGAAGTTCGCACAGTCCATTAGCAAGTCCCAAAATTACTAGTGTAGGAATTTCATTCGGACCAGTCGACTTGGCAGGCCTCAATAGCAGTAATTCGGCCCTAACTGGGGTCGATGAAAAGCGTGTTTTCTACATTGAGGAGGAGGGGGAGGAGTAGCAGGGGGAGGAGCAAAGGGAGT